TAAGCAAACAACACACGAAAAACAGAATCTGTCAAAAACAGAACAGTCTGTAGTAATCTGTAGGTTTCAAATATTTATGGAACCCCAAAAACTCTAAAATAAATTGCTGGACGTGAGGAATTTGTCTATTAATCATCTGCAAAAATAATTAACTAAATAGCACTCTCCAGTAAAAAAAATGGCAGCAAATCTCGTGAGCGCTACAGTTTCTGTTTTTTACAGCAAGATCGCAAAGACTTTCCCCAAGTCTACCCAAAGGTTCTACTTGGCACAAACACTAATTAAAAGCATAAAACCACATCTAAACAGAGTCTAGACAAATCATTTATTACTAAACAGAATCAACAAGCAAGAAACAAAAATAAAATTGGATTGCCTCCCAACAAGCACTATCGTTTAACGCCCCTAGCTAGGCATAAAAACAAGGATAGATCTAGGTATTATCATCTTTGGTATGCAATCCATAAGTGGCTCTCATAATAGATTCATAAGGTAATTTAATTTTCTTTCTAGGAAAGTGTTCCATTCCCTTCTTTAACGGAAATTGGAATCTAATATTCCCTTCTTTCATATCAATAATTGCACCAATCGTTCTAAGGAAAGGCCTACCAAGAATAATCGGACATGTAGGATTGAAATCTATATCAAGAATAATGAAATCTATGGGCACACAATTCCTATTTGCAACAATAAGAACATCATTAATTCTTCCCATAGGTTTTTTAATGGTGGAATCCGCAAGATGCAAGTATAAAGAACAATCATCAAATTCACGGAAACCTAGCAAATCACACAAAGTTTTAGGAATCATGGAAACACTAGCACCCAAATCACATAAAGCATAGCATTCATGATCTTTAATCTTAATTTTAATAGTAGGTTCCCACTCATCATGAAGTTTTCTAGGGATAGAAACTTCCAATTCAAGCTTTTCTTCATAAGATTGCATTAAAGCACCAACGATATGTTTAGTAAAAGCTTTGTTTTGACTGTAAGCATGCGGAGAATTTAGCACAGATTGTAACAAGGAAATACAATATATTAAAGAACAATTATCATAATTAAATTCCTTGAAATCCAAGATAGTGGGTTCATTGCTATTTAAAGTTTTGACCTCTTCCATCCCACTTTTATCAATTTTTGCATCAAGATCTAAAAACTCCGAATCATTGGGACGCCTTCTAACTAAAGTTGACTCATCTCCAGTCCCATCATTATCAAGATTCATATTGCAAAACAAATATTTAATAGGGGACACATCAATAACTTTTAGATCTTCATCATTATTATCATGGAAACTAGAAGAACACACTTTCACAAAGCAATCTTTTTAGCACACATCCTAGCGGTTCTTTCTTTGGACTCATCAATGGAAGTTCTCATAGATTTGAGAGACTCATTGATATCATGCTTAGTTGGAATAGATCTAAGTTTCAAAGAATCAATATCAAGAGAAATTATATCCATGTTCCTAGCCAACTCATCAATCTTAGACAATTTTTCTTCAATCAAAGCATTGAAACTCTTTTGCGAACTAATAAATTCTTTAATATTAGATTCAAAATCAAAGGGCATATTATTATAATTTCCATAAGAGTTGTTGTAGGAATTACCATAATTATCAGAGGAATTACTAGGAAACGGCCTAGGATTAAAATTACCTCTATATGCGTTATTACCAAAATTGTTCCTACGAACAGAATTCACATCCATAGATTCATTACTATTCTCAATCAAAGTAGACAAAGGCATATCATTATGATCAGAAGAAACAATCTTATGAGCAGACAATTTCATAAGCTCATCCATCTTTCCACTCAAAACATTAATTTCTTCTATTGCATGAACCTTTTTATTAGTAGATCTTTCAGTATGCCATTGAGAATAATTAACCATAATATTATCTAGGAGTTTAGTAGCTTATCCTAAGGTGATTTCCATAAAAGTGCCTCCCGCGGCCGAATCTAAAAGATTTATAGAAGCAAAATTCAATTCGGCATAATTTTTTTGTATAATAATCCAAAGATTCAAACCATGTGTAGGGCAATTACGTATCATTAATTTCATCCTCTCCCAAGCTTGTGCAACATGTTCATGATCAAGTTGCTTAAAATTCATAATATCGTTTCTAAGAGTGATGATCTTAGCGGGAGGAAAATACTTAGAGATAAAAGCATCTTTGCACTTATTCCATGAATCGATACTATTTTTAGGCAAAGACAAAAACCAAGTTTTAGCACGATCTCTAAGAGAAAACGGGAATAGCTTCAGTTTAACAATATCATTATCTAGATCTTTCTTCTTTTGCATATCACACAAATCAACAAAGTTGTTTAGATGGGTAGCGGCATCTTCACTAGGAAGGCCGGAAAACGGATCTTTCATGACAAGATTCAGCAAAGCAGCATTAATTTCACAAGATTCAACATCGGTAAGAGGAGCAATCGGAGTGCTAATAAAATCATTATTGTTGGTATTGGAAAAATCACAAAATTTAGTATTGTATTGAGCCATCGTGACAAGCAAGTAATCCAACACACAAGCAAACAAGAAACAAGCAAAAAGAGACGGACTAGAGAAGAGAAGGGGAACGGAAAAAGAGGGCGAATAAAACAGCAAGGGTGAAGTGGGGGAGAGGAAAACGAGAGGCAAATGGCAAATAATGTAATGCGAGGGATAAGATTTTGTGATGGGTACTTGGTATGTCTTGACTTGTGCGTAGTTTCCCCGGCAACGGCGCTAGAAATCCTTCTTGCTACCTCTTGAGCACTGCATTGGTTTTCCCTTGAAGAGGAAAGGGTGATGCAGCAAAATAGCGTAAGTATTTCCCTTAGTTTTTGAGAACCAAGGTATCAATCCAGTAGGAGGCCACACGCAAGTCCCTCGTACCTACACAAACAAATAAGAACCTCGCAACCAACGCGATAAAGGGGTTGTCAATCCCTTCACAGTCACTTATAAGAGTGAGATCTGATAGAGATGATAAGATAATATTTTTGGTATTTTTATGATAAAGATTAAAAGTAAAGATTGCAAAATAGAAGGTAATAGAAATAGATTGTTAACGGAAGATTAATATAATGGAGAATAGACCCGGGGGCCATAGGTTTCACTAGTGGCTTCTCTCAAGATAGCATAAGTATTACGGTGGGTGAACAAATTACTGTCAAGCAATTGATAGAAAAGAGAATAATTATGAGAATATCTAGGCATGATCATGTATATAGGAATCACGTCCATGACAAGTAGACCGACTCCTGCCTGCATCTACTACTATTACTCCACACATCGACCGCTATCCAACATGCATCTAGAGTATTAAGTTCATAAGAATAGAGTAACGCATTAGGTAAGATGACATGATGTAGAGGGATAAACTCAAGCAATATGATATAAACCCTATCTTTTTATCCTCGATGGCAACAATACAATACGTGTCATTTCCCTTTCTGTCACTTGGATCGAGCACCGCAAGATTGAACCCAAAGCTAAGCATTTCTCCCGTTGTAAGAAAGATCAATCTAGTAGGCCAAACCAAACTGATAATTCGAAGAGACTTGCAAAGATAACCAATCATACATAAAAGATTTCAGAGAAGAATCAAATATTTTTCATAGATAGACTTGATTATAAACCCACAATTCATCGGATCTCGGCAAACACGCCGCAAAAAGAGTTACATCGAATAGATCTCCAAGAAGATCAAGGAGAACTTTGTATTAAGATCCAAAGAGAGAGAAGAAGCCATCTAGCTAATAACTTTGGACCCGAAGGTCTGAAGTAAACTACTCACACATCATCGGAGGGGCCATGAAGTTGATGTAGAGGCCCTCCATGATCGATGCCTCCTCCGGCGGAGCTCCGGAAAAGGCCCCAAGATGGGATCTCTTGGGTACAGAAGGTTGCGGTGGTGGAAATAGGGTTTCGTGGTGCTCCTGAATGTTTTCAGAGTATATGAGTATATATAGGAGGAAGAAGTAGATCGGTTGAGCTACGAGGGGCCCACGAGGGAGGAGGGCGCGCCCCCTGCCTCATGGCCTCCTCGGTTGTTTCTTGACGTCCACTCCAAGTCCTCTGGATCACGTTTGTTCCAAAAATCATGTTCCCGAAGGTTTCATTCCGTTTGGACTCCGTTTGATATTCCTTTTCTGCGGAACACTGAAATAGGAAAAAAAACAACAATTTGCACTAGGCCTTGGGTTAATAGGTTAGTCCCAAAAATAATATAAAAGTGTATAATAAAGTCCATTAAACATCCAAAACAGAATATATAATAGCATGGAACAATCAAAAATTATAGATACATTGGAGACGTATCAGAAAGCACATTGCTACTATACCTAGCCCGGTGGTTACGGTGGCCACCACTTAGCAGCAACGTCGTTTGGCACAAACATGGTACTGCTAAATGTATAGCAGTAGCGAGTTCCAAATGGCCACGCTACTATAAAGCAGCAGTAGCGCGTGCAGGGGAACCGCGCTACTGATAAGCCTCCACCTATAAGGTTTTTCCGAGTAGTGCATCACTACCATCATCATTTAAAAAGGAATACAAAAGTGCTCATCTATTAACAATAATCAGCACACAAAAAATGGAACCTAGGCACATGTTTTTTATTACTCAAACAAAACAAAATTTCTGAATGCTAAAAACAGAGATAAGTATATCAAGGATTAGCTAACTAAATTACCATGCGGCTCACATCACAAATTGCAGGGATACTATATTGAGCACAACTTCTATGGGCATTCAAATCTCGCAATCACCTCATTCAGGTAAACAAAGATGGGGAGGTCGCGCTGGTGGCTGCCAATGCAAGCATGAATAGGATGATGATGGTGGTGTGTGCAGGCATGGGGCGAAGCGTCGGCCTAGTGAGCTCTTGAAACTGCGGACACGGTGGCCGGTCATGAATTTCATGGGCACGACGACGCCTCTGTGCATCGATCCGAAGGGGAGGGGGAAAGGAGTTCAAGACGCAACTCACCTTGGGAAGACGATGGCGAGCTCAGAGGGGTCCCGGGAAGCAGGACAAATGTGGGGCCAAGGTGGAAGCATCAGTGGCAAACCCTACTTTATTGTGCAATACCATGATTTGGTCGCTGGAGCTCCTCTCCGCAGCAGCCCGCCTCCGCTCCGCCACCAGCCACGGAGCGACGCATCCCGTGAAACCACCCGTGCATGCGACCTTGTTGCCTTCGCCCATGTCCTCTCCGCCGCGCGACATCCCCGATTTGGTCCGGTGGAGCACCTCCTGTGGTGGCTCCTCGTTGCTGCCCATGGAGGCGCATGGCGGGGTAGGGGGTGGGGGAGGAGAAAACTGGGGGAGTGGGATAGATGCGGTGCGGGCTTGTCTCGAACGAGTCCTAGTGATGACGTGGCAATGTGAGCTCGTCAAGATTCGTGCAATGGCTTAGAAGGCATTCAGACGAAGCAGCGAAATATGTGACGTTCAGAATTATCATTTTTCTTAAAAAAATAGTCTATTCGAAGCATTATTGGTAGTTAACCTCCACAAATATGATAGCATCACGACAATCTACCCACAAGATAAGACACTCATCAATGTTTATAAAAAGAAACCGACTTTTCTTTTATTTATTTTTTACATTCTAATGTTCACAGAAACTCCATGTCCATGGAGATGCTCTAAGCTGCTTATCACAACTTCACACGGCAGCGATGGAAGGCGACGGCGGCACGGCGGCGGCCTGGATGGCGACGCACCGCGGGATGTACGAGCGGGCCACGCGGCACCCCTTCACCGTCTCGATCCGCGACGGTTCCGTCGACCTGGCCGCCTTCAAACGCTGGCTCGTCAGTATTTTCTCGGCTTCTCTCCTCAGGCTCCCCCTTCCCCCCTCCGACCCCCACCCCACCCCCAATTTCTTATGTAGCTTTGCTTATCAGTTGATACAAGGTGATTATACTTAAATAGGATTGAGCGGCTCCTGCTACGTAAAGCATCGCTAACCTTACGCTAGCAGTGGATCTTGATTCGAACTGTGTGACTTTTTGCACTGACTTAGATGAGCTAGACTAATAGAGCTACTTCTGTGGCCTGAGAAGAAGAAAAGATGGTGTGGGTGGGACTTCATAAGGCTACTGAATGTGTTGATCCATTTAGCATGTGTGCAAGATTTGGGGAGATTTGTGGGATTGCTGCTACAAATCAGCATAGGAGGACCTGGAATGCTTATTTTGGCCGCCGCTTAGACTTTCATCCAACTTAATCTGAGAAACGGCATGGTTACGGGTTACCAAACCTGGAGTGTGAAACATAAACTGAAAGTGTGCTGGGACTCTTGCCATGGTGGTTTTGAAGGACAGCAGTGTTTGTTCTGAGTAGGATGTTAGCTAGGATTGAAATTCCCCGTCGACAGAATTTGCTGCTCAATTAACGACAATGCTATCTTGATTTTGGTAATTGGGGAATGTTGGACCTTCTTTTGTCAGGCAACGGTAACTAGGCAGTTACGGCTGTCAAATTCCTGTTGTGATTCGGTGGTCAGGGGCACATTTCTCCCTGTTGAATAGTCTGGTTCACTCATGGTGATTTCCTGTCATGTTTACGGAATGTGATGCTTTTTGTTACTTGCATTACATATTCATACAAATACTTCTTGATGCACAGAGAAGAAACAATACTTCTTGGGGAATATATATATTTTTTTCGAACCGGGCTTTTCCCCTTTCCATTACTTTCATAACGGAAATACAATGTCTCAGGAACTGAAACCAGCAAGGCTAGAGAGAAAGAGGAAAAGCGAGTTCGGAGCAGCATCAAGAAACCCACTATCTGCGCCTGTCATCAGGAACAACAGATCATGGGGCGAAAACTTGATGTCACCCAAAACCGCGCTAACGAACACCTACGAGCAGTACTATAAGTTTTACAGATAACACCAACAAACATCGGGCCACAGCCGCCAAAACACCTCAAGACCAAAAGAGCTACCATAAACCTCCTACCAAGGCTCTCAAGAAGCATCCACGTCCCTCCTCCTGTAGAAGCAACACGCCAGTAACATACTGAACAGGATTAGCATCGCCTCCCTCCTCAGTTTTCGTCGCGCCCATCTTGAGCTGGAACTGGTGGACCGCAAAGCAGCATCATCTGCGTAGTGTTCTCCTTCAGCATCTCTGCTCCTTTTTTCACCATCTCTGCTTTCTGGAGGCCTGCCCAGTTTATCAAAAAAGAACAAGCTGTGAACACAATCTCAAACGGGGAGTTAATCCATTTGTGTTCAAAAGTGGCTCGGTTCCTGGCCAACCAAATAGCCCAGCATATAGCAGCCAAGCCAACAGTGTAAATTTTGTCCATCCCAGGTAGGAAACTGTACATCCACGTATAGTATTGCCAAACAGAGTTAGGACAGCAATCAGTTCCAAGTAAGGAACCCACGTTTCTCCACACCACCCTGGACACAGGGCATAAAAAGAACAAGTGTTGGGCTGTTTCTAATTGATTACAAAACGAACAGCAAGGATCCCCCGGCCATAGTCTTTTTTTCATATTGTCCCTGGTCAGGATGGCATTCTGCGCCATCTGCCATAAGAAAATTTGGATTTTAAGAGGTAGCTTTGCATCCCAAATCCATTTAAAATTAGATCCTGCAATATCTTTCTCCAGCCAAGCATACATGGATTTAGTTGTATAATTGCCCGAACTATCCCATTTCCAATAAACCTCATCTGCCCCATCACTAAGTTTAAGGTTTAACACCTCATTATTCATATCTCCCCATTGTTGCAGCATCTCAGGGGACATCCTCCTCCTAAAAGAGGTGATCTGATCCAGGTTTTTAAACTGGTCAACATTACAATTTTGCTCATTACAGGTCTCAAAGAGCAGTGGGAATCTGTCTTTAAAAGGCATTTTACCCTCCAGGCTATCCTGCCAGAGTCTAGCCACATCTCCTCTATTTAGATTAATACCCCTTCCCATCATATATAGGTCTTTCACTTTCAAAAGTGACTTCCAGCAAGGCGAGTCACTGGCTTTGTGTTTCACCATAGCCACCGAAGTTTTCTTAAGGTATTTAGCCTTAAAATAAAAGAAACAGCGTGTTTCATTTAAATGTCTATTATTGAGAAGCTGCTTAGCTGGAAGCACTAGGGTATTACTCTGCATTAGTACTTGGTACTTGGAGCTTCATTGATGCTAGTTAGATTCAGACGTCATATACTTCACTAATGTAGCCATTTGTTTGTTTTCTAAGATCAATCCCACAGTGGTTACCGCTACTCCTGTTGTTGATGCTCGTGATGAAATAAAATATCTGTTTATGTATCATATTTCAGGGTCAGGACTACATGTTCGTGCGGGAATTTGTTGCATTTCTAGCTAGTGTATTGCTCAAGTGTTGCAAAGAGTCAGACAGCTCGGACATGGAAACAATCCTAGGTGGCTTGGCTTCTCTTAGTGATGAGCTCTCTTGGTTCAGGAAGGAAGCTGCTAAGTGGAGTGTTGATCTGGCCGGTATTTCTCCCCTCAGTTCTAATATGGAGTACTGCAGGTTGATCTCTATCAAACATTTACACAATTATACAACCTTATAGAGTGCTAAAGGATTGTGACTATGGTATTATTTTCATGGCCAGGTTTCTCCAAAGCCTTGATGATCCAGAGATCAGCTACACTGTAGCCATAACTACGTTTTGGATAATTGAAACCGTGTACCAGGATAGTTTTGCTTTCTGCATAGAAGAAGGTAACAAGACCCCGGCGGAGCTCCTGGGGACGTGTCAGAGATGGGGCAGCCCTGAGTTCAAGCAGTACTGCCAGTCTCTGCAGCGGATCGCTGATCGCTGCTTGGCAAATGCGCCACCTGATGTTGTCAAGAGTGCTGAAGAGGCTTTTCTTCGGGTGCTTAAGCTGGAAATTGGATTCTGGGACATGAGTTCTTCTCTGTCCTAAGCGGCGACTACATCGTGCCAACACCCTGCATTACTTGGACGGAATAGACGCCGCAGTGGGTTCAGCATTTTACTGTCATTTCCCTTGTATCTTGGTTTCTCTGGTGAACACCGTGCAATAACCTGGATGAAATAAATGTTGTGTTGGTTCAGACCGAAACCTCGATTGCACTTTATTTTTTCACGTATCTAGGTTTCTTTGGTCAGCACGGTGGAATTACTTGGACGGTATAGATGTTTTTGTCGGTTTAGTGTTCAGTCTTTCAGGCTGAAAACCTCGGCTGCACCGTCGGTATAGATGTTTTTGTTGGTATGTATTTTTATGCTGGCTTCTTTGGATTCCCAAGAACTTATGATGTATAATTGTAAGTTTGTAGCGAACTGAAATAATGTTGCCATGTGAAAACCTAAATGTCACAACCAGTTGCTAAGTACAGTACGTCAATATGACCCTACATCGTTTCTGAAAGAGCATGCTGCAAAGAACTAGTAAAAGCAAAGGGGAAAAACGGATTTAAAAAAAAAAGCAAACGGGAAAAAAGAAAAAATCTGCAAAAATGAAGGAAAAATATCAGAGCCAGGTTTCGATCGTGGGACCTGTGGGTTATGGGCCCACCAGGCTTCCGCTGCGCCACTCTGATTTGTGTATGATATAATTGAAGTCTTACTTGATTAGCATGATACCTCGCAGCTTGCCTTGATAATTTGATATCACACTCAGAACTCCTAATAAACATTATAGTATCTTATAATTTTACAAACAAATCTCTGCTTGCTTTATTGTAAGCTAAGCCAAATAAAGCAACAAACCAAACTTACACGCCCAAGATGCCAATGTGCCGCGCAAGCTAAGCCAGAAGCTACCGCTCATGATGACGGCCGGCAATGGCAGAAGCCGGCACGAGCAGCTACGCACGGCTAGCTGTCGTAGGTGCGGCACTCGTCGGTCTCGGGGTTGTCCTCGCAGAACTCCTCCAGCGGGTCGCTGTGCTCCTTCTTGCGGTCGCGCGCGTGGCTGGCCGCCGCGCTGAGCTCCTCCACCTCGTCCCACGCCGCCACGCACTCGCCGCCCTCCGGGTCCCCCGCGCACGTCTCCTCCGCCTGCTTGATGCTCTCCGTCACCTTCTGCGCCAGCTCCGGGGGCGTGGACGGCGAGCCAGCCACGGCCACCAGCCGTCGGCCGTGCGCGCGCATCGCCCGGGCGGCGAACGACACGACGTTCGGGCGAGATGGCAGCGTGGCCGGGGGCTGCGCAACGGTTCTGGGAGCCGGAAAGGTGGCCATGAAGGCCATGGTGGTGATGGTGGCCATGGCTTCCCACTTGGTTCGCAGTAGGGTGGAAGAGAAGGTTTTGGTTGGGGTCTGGCCGTTTAGGTTACGCCATTTTTATGTGGCTCTCTGCTCCTTATCGTTTGGGGGCCAATCCCGTTGTGACAGATCAGCCTTGGCAGATTTCCTTTCTAGAAGATATTTATCAATCGGGTGTGTCTAGGGCACATCTAGATATGCTTTAGTTATTGCACATCTAAGTGAGTGAATCAAGCATAAAAGAAAAAGAAAAAAGAAAAAGAAAATATTCACACGAATCTCAATGTAAAATCAATGACATATGACTTAGATGTGCAATACTTATGGCACATTTAGATGTGCTTTAGCAAAACTGTTATCAATAATCCTAGACCTACGGTGTTGTTACGGGTTTGTTACAGGATTACCCAAGATTTTTTCCACGAATTTTCTTACCGAAAATGCTACACCTACTCGTAAGGGCCTGTATAAATTGCTAAGACTATTTTAGAAGTGCCACATAAGATAAATGTTAAGATGAAGAAGAGAGAAATCAAAAAGGCATGCTTGTCTTCTCTTGTTTAAGCACAATATCTCTCACCATGTTTTTACGAATAAATAATTATTGAAGATAAGGCTAAGAGACAAGCAAAGTTCTATTCTGATCCCGAGCTCAAAATGCCCCTTGATGAACAATAAAATCGATAAAATAATAAAAGAAAATAAAAAAATTGATAAATTTTGACAAATATTTTGTGTGCTTGCAAAATTTCAGCAGAAAATAACATTCATGAAAAAAACAAATTCAGCATTTCCAAATGTTTCCAAAACTAGAATTTTTGGAGCATCAACTTTTTTTTGCCACGACTTCCACAAATATTATTTCATGCTGAAATTTTGCAAGTATACAAAACATTTGTCAAAGTTCACCACAAAAAGATATTCAAAACATTCGTGAAAGTTTACCACAAAAAATATTCAAAATATTTGTCAAATTCTTGGCCCGCATGTACCTCAAAGCACTTCTACATCAGACTAAGTGGGAATGGACGAATCGACCATTTTCGCAGAGCCAGGCACTAGCGATCCCGCGTGGCTGTCGCCTGAACAACA